CACTTAGGTAGTAGGGACTGAACCTCTTTATGTTAAATGATTTCAACAAGTGGCCACAATACACTGGGTCAGTTTCCTAGGGCTGTAGTCACCGAGGGCTGCAGCTGGGTGGGTTGCAACAGAAACTCATTCTTGCGGTGCGGGAGGCTAGAAATCTGAAATCAAGGTGTTGGCAGGGTTGTGTCGCCTTTGAACCCTCCGGGGGAGGATGCGTCCCCACCGCTTCTCATTTCTGGTGTGCCTGGTATTCTTGGCGTTCCTTGGGTGGTAGACACATCACTCCGATCTCCACCTCCATCTCTGCATCATGCGTTTGTGTCTCCTCCGCCTCTATGTCCTCACACGACGTTCTCCTCTCTGGGCGTCTGTGTCCAAATGTCCCTCTTCTTATAAGGACACCAGTCATTGGGCTGGAGCCCACCTGACTTCAGCGTGATCTCATCTTAGTCAGTCTGCCAAATCCCTGTGTCCAAATAAGCTCACACCCACAGGTACCAGGGGCTAAAACTTCAACACGTCTTCACAGGACACGATTCAACCCAAAATGCGTGCCCATCGCAGCAACGTTTGGGACCTGCTAAAGCTGTGTTTCTCCACACTCATTGCTCATCAGGACCACCTGGGGAACTTTCCCAATTACACCCAATAAGTCTGACCCTCCAGGGGTAAAACGAGGCATCACCAAGTCTTTAAAGCCTCAGGCATTTCTAGTGCATTGCAAGGGTTGAGGACCACTGCCTAAGACGCAGCTTTTACAGCTCTTGTGAAAATGTGTACTCTTTCAAAACAGATGTTTGCATTTTCTTCTTAGCACGAACTGGAGGAAAATATACTGGTTAATTAGTCTATGCTAAATATACGCTGCTTAAAAAGCAGAGGCTTTTTGATAACACTCTTTAAAAACCCAAAAGTTTCTCATCAACGTAATTATAGATGTTTGGTAATTCCTTTAAAATGGACATAATACATATTATAAAATAGTTACTTGGATATCTAGTCATTAGAGATGTTTAGAAATAAAGGTACAGGTTTAAGGAAGAAAATGCATATGAGAGAATTAAGCTGAAGAGATTTGAGTTTGGGAAATTAATCTGACTACATTCATGATATCTTAACACCATCTTCAAGTCTTGCCATGATGTCCTCTCTCTAATTTTACTCCAAAGGGGCTATAATATAAAACTGTATTTGGACTATTCCCTCCAAATTGTTCCCAATTTCCCAGAGTCATGATTTCAGAAAACACTTGGAATGGCTTCTAAGTTTTTTAAATAGACAGGTGCATTTTCTCAGTAAAAGAGGAAAAGGAAGAATGAGGTATTCAGTAAGTACAGTCAGCCTGGACCTCTAGAAAACGCCGAGAAAAGGCTGAAATGAGCTATATTGGGTGCTGTCTTCTTCTCTGCACTGAGGACAACCCTATATCAGCATTTGCTTCACTGCTACAGGGATCACTGGCTAGACAGTAACAGCAATTTTATGAAACAATAAAGTGCATGGTTTTCATTATAAGATGGCAAACAGTAAGGAGTCAGAGAAATACTGGTATATGATAATCCAGAGGAAAACAGTGTGTTAATGAGAACAGCAGCTAGTAAACTGGGAGATACAGCTGAGTAACACGTGAGTAAAGCACTAACAGGGGAGTGTAGCCAAGCTGATTAATCAGGTTAACAGTAACAAACAAGCCACACATCATGTTCAACGTGTGGGTTCCACAGAACTGGGACACAACCCACCATCCCAACCAGGACCCTGGAGAGGAGCAGTCGTCACTATTAATAACCATGCAAGGACTGTCTCCCAACCTGAGATGTGCGGTCACTGTCCTCTTAACCTGCTCTGCCACGATGCTTGACTTCACTTTCCCTGCCACTGCCTTAGCCCTTTCTAATGTCTCTTCTACAAGCAAACATGAAAGAGCATGCTTTTAGTGCACAATCGATTCCAAAATGTACACAGAACCCACAAATACTGTATCATTTTATGAGTAAGAATAGGCTACATTATGCTGTGGGGAAACCAACCCCAAACCCCAGGGGCTGAAAACAACCCAAGCCTCCTTGTCCTCCGTGGTCTGCACCTGTCCCGGGTAGGCAAGGGCTCTGCCCAGGTTAGCCGGGAGCATCGCCAGCCCAGCCTCCAAGGCCCCCCCACAGGAGTGAGTGACCCGCCCTGGAAAAGACACAGGGACACTTTCTGTCTCATCTCATGTGCCCGAACTCACCATGTGGTGCCACCCAACCAAGAAAGGTCTAGATCATGCAGTCCTGCCTGGTGTCTGGAAGAGGTGTAGCGGAACCATTTGTAGCTGTAATTAATGAGCACCGTAAAACTGCCGCCTCATTCAGGATCTCGAACCGTGCTCTTGTTCTAGAGACCCTTCTAGTTCCGGGGGCTGAGACGGGGTTGCTTTGGGAGGGAGGCAGTCTGCTCTCTTTCTCTCCTTCTTAAGTAATTTTTTTCTGATTTTTGTCTTATTTTATATTCTTTTTATAATTTTCTACTAAATGTAGACAAATCGGCTCCTGCGACAAAAATGCTACAGATCAGACCATATTTTACAGATGTCACTTTCTCTGAATTGAGTCACTGAATTTAGTCTTAAGTTGCTCTAACGAACATATACATAAATAATATTTGATCAGAAATCAGAGAGTGCAAACAGTTATGTGCATTTAAACTGATTCAAAATTGATTTTAATAGAGAATAAACCTCAGAGAGTCCCTCCTTCCTTTTAATTCTTAATTTTAATCTTCTGGTAATGCTTCCTCCATAGATATTAAAGTATTTTAACTCAAACAACAGTACAATAAATGACATGGAAAAAGCAAGTTACCCAAAAGCATGATTCAGTATTTACAGAAATTAATGTATATCTTATCTGTAAACTCCTTTTTGTTCAAGGACTGGATGCACAGGTGCCAGAAAGCTAGCGGTTACAGTTGTTCTGCTGGTGATACTGACGGCGGCTTTAATTCCTTCATTTTTCTTATCGTTGTTTTCCAAATTTTCTTCTTTGTGCCAGAATCACCTTTGTAATTTAGAAAAATTACAGAGGAATACAAAATCCCAAAGCGAATAAATTATGATCATTCATCACCCCAACAACAGATCCATTTGTCAACAGATCCATTTTCATTACTTAAATCCTCTTCCATCTTTACCCATGTAAATGCAATAATATAAACCTTAATTTCATTGAAAATTATCACAAAATTAGCCTCAGTTTGAAAAAGTGACAAAATAAAATATATCACCTTCCTAACTATTCAAAAATAGTGATATATCCCTGGATTGTACTATTTCAAGTCCATGATGCTTGCTTGTGCTGTTCATGCTGAAATGTGAGGTTCAAATCCACAATGTACTAACATTTAAAGGTCTAACAACCCCAAAAGAATAATGTAATCATGTTTCAGGGAAGCTTTCTGTCTAAGTAATCTCTCTTCTAGAACCTCTGCATCTGAATACCGGAATTCCGAGAGAACACCACCATCAACGCTGTCAACATGATGGATGGTCCTTTGTCTCGGCCCCTGGATGATTTACGGACAGGCTCTCAAAAGTGGCTCTTATATCCTAGATCTTCTCAGATCAAGAAACTAAATGTGTACAAAAGAAAATCCCTACATACATTTTTGTAAAAAGTAAAAATTAAAAATAAGACAATCACTATTGCTCCTATCATTTTGTTTGGAACATAACAGCCAAAATGTACACCGTACAATTTTCAACTATTACTGATCTTTGAATGTTTTCTTTAATTTTCCAACATTCACCCATAAACTTGACTATAACATAGTCTGAATCTAAAATATCAACATTAAAGGTGAACATGATCATAACATTGCAATTAAGTATGTTTTAAAGTGATTTTCCATACGTGATCCCATTTGGGGTGGAAGACCCTACAATTCTAGAGGTCAACAAAGAAGGTCATATTTTAATCATTCTTCACCTGCCAAACAAGTCATAAACTTTTAGGCAATTACTTTAGACACCATAATGTTGCTTAATGCAAGCCTATCTTCCTTTTGTATGAAGGAATCTTCCTCTCCATTCCTCCCTTACCCCATTTCCACCACACACGCTCACATCCTTGATATGACCAGTCTCTATTTATTCCTCAAAATTCAACTCACTCATCACATGACACAGAGACAATCTCCAAAAACTGTATACAGACAAGAGCACTTGGTAACTGTCCCTGCTGTCTGGTCCTACAGCACCGTTTCCTGATGTTTGCACTATGGATTGAGTGTTCTGCTCAGATATCTTCCTTG